GGAAACTGCAGTGAAACAGTATTTATCCTTAGAACTGATGGATATAAAGTGTTTACAACTGTCTGTTACTATCTATTTTTTTTGTCTACTCCACGTTTAATGTAATGGAGCCTCAATGCCCTTTCTTTGCTGCTGAAATGGTGTTCTTTAAAGCACAATCAGCATGTAGCATGGACCAGTCTTTTAGTGGTATACTCACACCTTCCCTGTTAGTGATTGTTTCTTGCTGTGATTGCTCTTGAGGGAGGGGCTTGGGCTTTACTGAAGCGTATCCTTTCATATCATCTAAGGAATTTTTGTTTGGGTTGGGTAGGGTTTATTGTTTGTTTTCTTATTCTTGATTTTAGTTTGTAGATTTTTAATTTCTTTTTTCATTTTTTTTCCCCAGAAGTAACAAGCATCATTACTCTAAGACAGTTACCTAGTTGGTTGAGAGATATTTTTTTATCAGCTGTGAGAGAAACTAGCTGTATGATACTTCTAAAATATATAAGCTCTGTTAAGTTTTCAGTTTCCCAGTACACTGGACATTCAAACAGCCTGGATCCTATTTAACAAACATTGTTGAATGTATTCAGTTAATAAAAGCTTGGCAAATATTAGTAAAGGGCTTGTAATGCTTGTGAGTGACATAAAGGTTAAAAGCTTTTGATAGCATTGTGCCGAACTGGAGTAAAGCTTGAAGAAACTGAAGTGATGTGTCAGTAAGAAATCTCAGCACTGATTCAGACATCATGAAATAATCATTTTTCAGAAACTGGAAAAGATGCAACTGTTTTACAAATCTGAATTTAGTTTTAGAACTTGAAGCTTTTAACATTATTCAGCTCATATTATCCTGTTCTCCTGTTAACAGAACTGTCCCAGTTTGATATTTCCTGGGAAAGCAAGATGGTTTTTGTCCTATGCATGTTACACTGTTTCTCCATAAGGACCAGGACAAGAGAAGAAAGGACTTCCAAGAAAGTAGATGAGCATATAGGGGAACATTATCTCTTGGTGCAAAGTTTGATTATTATTTTTTCATTTGCTTGTTGCCCTCTTTGCACAGAGGAAAAGTCTCTGTGCACCCCAGGACACAAGGAGGTTCTCCCGCACATCCTCAGAGCTCAGAGTCACAATGGGAACACCAGAAAGCATACACAGGTTCAGGATTTCTGTAAACATAGGATTCCAGCTCCCAAAACCACTCTTATATTCACTTTCTTTAAAGGCTTGTCTGGACGAGGATAAAGGTGCATTTAAAAAAGAAAAAAAATGTCAGTGAAAACTTTTAATTAACATGTTTTCAAAATCTCAGTGTTGGCAGGGTGTGTTGCAGTTTAGTGCATTTGCCAGCAAATGTGTTAAAATACATTTGTGTCCCAACCACGTGTGGCAAGTTAGGACATGTTTTTAAAAGTTTTGAATTTTAATATGAGTTAAAACATGTTCATGATAGTGGTTTTACCTTAGCCGACTGTGAGTGTCACTGATGTGTTTTCCTGGGACTCCAGTGAGCAGCTGCCATACTGGCAGGGAGCTGCTACTGAACAGCTTTCTCCTTTTCCTGAACTATCAAATGAAAGTGCCTATCTTTCAGGAATGGATAGAAATGAATGTTTTACACTGTATTGTGAAAAACAAATAAAAAAACCCAAAAGCTGGATATTAGTGAGATGGAAGGTTGGGTAGTGGTTGCAGGAGTGAAGCCATGCTTTCACAGGGTTGTAAAGTGCAGCTTCAGAGGACTGGATGTAAGGTCAGGATTTCTGTAGACACGTAACCCACAGTGTGGCACCACACTCAGCTGTTGTTCTAGATGTGGCCAAACACTTTGCAGGGGCAACTTTGCCTCAGCTGCTCTTGGGCCAAAAGCTATCAGCTTTTTTTCTAACCTCCCCACAGAAAGTGAGTGTAAAGTTGACATAACTGCTACATACCATGCTTATACCTGGCTAGCTTGACTGGAAGGTTTGTGTTTATGCCTGATCGAAGTTGTAGCTGCAAGGCACAGATTCAGTATTAATGACCATGAAGGCCCAGGCAAGCATCAGTAACTCTGAGTCAGCTGTGACAGTGATTTTCTGGCCAGCACACTGTAAAGCAGTCCACACCTCAGTCTTTCCCCTTCCCAAAAGGCAGAAGATGAAAATACCTCAGGCAAAATGTGCTGAGAGGAGTTACATTTTGGAAGAACCGAAAAAAAGACAACTTCATCTGGGGCATGCAACACACTCTTAGAAATCAGGAGATTGGCTGTGACAAGGCCCTTAACCTTTGGAGTTGCAAAGGGAAGACGAATCCTGCCGCCCCCCTGAGAAGAGGTCCCCAGCCCTGTCTCTTTGCCTTAATTTTTGTGCTCCTCTCATTTCATTTTCGAGCTGTCTCTCAGTCATGGCTGTCACACTCTTAGAAATATTGCCACCCATGCCACAGGGGGAGAGGGGGAGGGGGAGGGAATCTGATTTTCTGCTGACACAGCTATTGTGGTAAAAGCCTTAACACAAATACACTTGACAATTGTACCACTTTTTTCAGATACTAAATCTCCAATACCCTATGCACGAGCAACTTAACACTCATACCTCCTCATTCCTGCCACAGAAATGCCATAACAACTTTTTATGTGGAGGGCAAGGCAGAAAATCGGTATTCTCATATTCATAACTGACTAGTCCTGCTCCAAAACACCAATGAGGGATTGTTTTGTTTTTTCTCCTTTCTTTCTTTCCTCCCTCCTTTCCCTTGGAAGGAGATGAAAAGATCAGGAACCTGAGTAAAGAAGTTTAAGAATGAGGAATCTCCCCTCCAGTCTGTCTCTTTGCTTGGCACATAAAGGTGTGTGTGGTGTGACACAGAGCCGATGGGCTCAGGAGGTCATTCAAGGCGTTAAATCTTGCATTTGCATCTCATGTTCAAGGGTTTGGGTTAGAGATAGCTGTCCAGGTTTTAATTGCAATGGGACTGACAGCAGGAGTGTACATATATTCCAGATATATTCCAGTCTCTTGTCCAGAGACTCTACAGAAGAACTTGTGGAACTAAGCACCTATAGTAAGATCAGTCAAAGCTTTTTCTTTTTTCTTCCTCTTTTTCTTTTCAGATTGTAAAACATTGAAATGGTTGAAAAATATATCAGAAGCATAACGTAGAGCACATGCCGTCCAAACTCCCACAGTCACTCTGTGAAATTTTTAAGTGACACTACTCTGAAATACAGACATAACTACGGTGGAAAGTAAAACTGCACATGACCGTGTCAGTGAAATTGCACATACCCATGCAAGATGGACAGGTGCCATTTAATACTGATTGTGAAGTCCTATCGTGGTCTTCCAGCAGGTCTTCTTAAGTGATCTGTTAAATCAACCAGTCTAAAAAGAAAAAAAACCAACAAACAAAACCACCACCACCAAAACCACGATTTGCTAAATATCCAGATTAAAATGAGCAGAGAAAACACTACACGTGGAGTCCCCTTGAGCAGCGGAGGAGGATCCCGAGGAAGGGAGCTGTCTAGCTGTCCGTGCCCCACGGTCGCGCCGCCGTCACGCCACAAGGTGAGCCCTCCGCAGCTCGCTCCATCCCTTCTGCCGGTGGTGCCCGCCGCCGCACACACCGCTCCGCCACGCACAGCCGGGGCGGGGGCGGCAGCCCACGGATCCCCGGAGAGCGGCTCCCGACACCGCTGCCCCCGGGAGCGGCCGCCGCGGTGCAGCCGCAGCTGACGCTGGGGCGGGCAGGGCCGCCCCCGCCCCACTCCGCTCCCGATCCCACCATGGAGGCCCCACCGCCCCTCGGCCGTCGCCAAGGAAACCGCCCGGCGGCGCGGCCCCGCCGAGGGAGCCCCGGGGCGCGGTGGCGGCACTCCCGGCACCCCCACCCTGCCGCGGGCGCTCACCCCGGCAGGGCCGGCGGCTGCCCCCCGCGGCTGCGGGTGCTGTGGGTGCGGGGAGCGCTGCCGCGGGTGGGCGTGCGGGGAGCAGCCCCCCGGGGGAGCGGGAGCTGCTGCGCCGGGCTCGGCGGGGCGGGCGGCCGCGGCCGAAACAAAGGGAGCGGCGGCCAGAGGCGGCGGAGGGGGGAGGTTGTGCGTGAAATGCGGCGAGTGGGAGGGAGAGTTCGCATCCACCCCATGAAAAACACCAACGATATGCCCCTTTTTGCCCCCAGGACACGAAATATTCCCTTGAGCGGCTGAAAGCAGCCGGCTGCCCTCGCAGGGATTACCGAGAGGCGGCTCTCGGCGCCTGCACGGAGCCCACCGGTCCCGCCAACCCCGGTAATCCGCGGGGAGAGGGAGGTGGGAGGCTGGGCCGAGCCTCCCCGCTTCGCAGCCCTTCATTATCGGAATAATTTTAACATCCTTGTTTATAAACAAGAGGCGTTCGGAGGAGATTACCCGATTTAGGGAAACGATCGTTCTGACGCTCGTTTCTACTCCTTAAAAGGGGATGGGGGTGTCGAGGAAACGGGGAGGGGGTCGGAGGGGGGGCTCTGGGCCAGCCTTCCCCGCATCACAGCGCGGAGGGAGGGAACCGCCCCGCTCCCCGCACACACTGCCCCCTCCCCTGAGAAAAAAAATCAGTGGGGTCCGTGATATTTCACCCACCCCAGCGCTGCTAAGCGCTCCAGATCACCGTTAATTCGCGTGCATCGCGTTTCGGGTTGCATCTTATTCGAGGGTTTAAATTCAACGTAAATAGACGCTCGGGGCTGGGGTTTGGGAAAGCGCGAATCTTTCCCTGATAACGTCCTTCGCCCACTACTTCAGTGCATGGAAATGTAATCGTGAAGTGGGTCACCGCCTCAGAAAATACTTTAAAAACACAAATCAGGAATAATCAGACAGCAGAATTTAATTAGAGCCGTAGGCTAATCACAAAATATTTTATTCCAAGCCAATATCGCTATGGGGGAGGGGTCCGTTTCTGCTCCGGCAGCGGCTCCTGCCGCCGCTGCTTTAGCGTTTGCAACATCTGGCCTACAGACCTACTAATTTCGACTCGTGATCTCGTTCGATGAAATCCGATCTACGTGGTTCGAATACCTTCCAAATTGGGGGCGATTTAACAATCGCGACCAATTAAACCCAGGGAAGAAAAGAATAAAAAAACCCCAAAGGGGG